ATCATGATACTGATGATGATGATGGTGGTGGTGATGAAGATGATGCATGATGCTGCTACTGATAATGATGGTGATCATGATACTGATGATGATGAATATGGAGTTACTGATGATGATGGTGGGAATGAAAATGTTGTATACCGATCAGTGTTGATGAAAGATTACCTCCAGCTCATCTGACGTCCTGGCTTGCTTTCTCTCAACATTCTCTCGGGTAGCCTGTCTTTGCTCCTAAAACACAAACCCAACACCATTCAATCTTCCACCTACACATGTTAGGCATATTATGCATGCAGTATACCATATAGTATATAGTATCTATGTGTACTCACCCCAAGTAGTTCACTCAGATGGTAAACCTGTGCTTCAATACCTGCAATTTCCTTTTGCTTCTCTGCACTCTCCCTTCAAAACAAAACATMGAGGGTTTGAATAATAGAAACAGCTGCTGCCATTTAATAGCCGAGCTGCTGCTTTTTGGCCTGCGCGAGCAGAGCACCATACTTAAGAAAAATTAATATCCCATCGATTTGATTTTTCAAGGCTTGATTACGTCACTTCCGTCTGTACGTACGGATGATGCCAATGCTGTTGTTGTTGATGATCATGCTGTTGTTGTTGCTGTTGTTACTGTTTCACATTTTGTCTATTCCTTACCTCCCTTTTCCTGCTCTTGACTTGGCGAAGAGAGATGGATCAAGCTTCTCCAATGGGACACCTAACATTAAATGAAAGAAACATCATTAAAACTTAGCTAGTACAACATTATCTAATCAAAGCCCTTGCATTAAGAGTTGGCTGATTAAATGTTTTATGTTATCCTACTGACAACCTAACAAGGTTTTGTAGACCTTAACTAACGAAACATCTTATCCAAGCCCTTGCGTCAAGAGTTGTGTGTGCAAGCGTTTGCTGTTATTCCACTGACAACCTAACAAGGTTTTGTAGACCTTAGCTAGTAAAACATTATCTACTCCAAGCCCTTGCATCAAGAGTTGTGTGTGCAAGTGTTTGCTGTTATCCTACTGACAACCTAACAAGGTTTTGTAGACCTTAGCTAGTAAAACATTATCTAATCAAAGCCCTTGCGTCAAGAGTTGTGTGTGCAAGTGTTTGCTGTAATTCTACTGAAAACCTAACAAGGTTTTCTATAACTCAAAGTAACCATATAACAGGTTTACTGAAGAAAGATTCCAAAGAAAATCAGTTCATTTTATGGGCAGGATTATTTTTCCATGGACTACTTCAAGGCRATTCACTACACATGTATAATAATACTACATTATGTAACAAACATCATGAGTAAATAGAAATTCAACTACCTTTGGTTGAAAACAACCTCTGTGCTCTCTCTTCCAGAGTCCTGTATTAAAAAAACCACAAATATATGTTTGAAGTTAAAGTACACACACACACAATTGATGTGAACAATGTTACACTAGGTTTCTCTAAATAGGTCTTTCTGTTTTCAATTTGCCCACATGTACTTCTCACTAAATGTTCATTTGTATTTCCCTTTTCAGTTTGGGCATGAGGTTTTCCCATTTCTGAATAAGATGATGTTAGGGTTACATGTAGGGTTTGCTATGCTATCAATCTTCTCTAGGTAGTAATGCTAGACAAGATTGATACAATTAAGCAAGATTCTTGTTCTTGTTCTCAAGAGGTTTGAAATGGGAAACATTAATCCTAAGCTGAATAGGATAAATAGGTGGCATGAGTGGGGTACCCTGCTAACGCATTGTCATTCACCACTTTGGTTACAAAGGTTCGGGTCACTAGCTGAAGCCCTGTGGAAATCATGTGAATTGGTTTTTAGTTCTCTCCTATGCTACAAGGATTTTCTCTGGGTTCTCCAGTTTCTTCCCTCCATAAAAATCAACATGCGAGTTGAGCATCGTGTGCATAGAATATTGAATGTAGTGGTAGATCCCAACATGTGAGCTGAGCATCGTGTGCATAGAATATTGAATGTAGTGGTAGTGTGTGTGAGTGAAAAGTGTCCCCAATTAGTGCGAAAGCACTAGAACGACTAGAGAGATGAGGAGGTGGGATGGGATGATGAATTCAACAGTGTACTGATCCATAGACTCTTCACTCTGGTTCCTAGTTGATTGATTCAACATTAAAGAAAGATTCTGTACTGTATTGTAAGCTGAATGGGAAGGTGTATTATTTCTTTCTTGTTAGTCTTACCCTCCACACTTTAGCCCCAGAGCCTGTAAAGCTCGTTTCAATCTGTCCAGTCCAAGAGATGCAAGCTCCTAAAAAAATATGCAAAAGTCATGTTGATACATCAGACTAGTAGGCAGAAATACATGTAACAAACCACAACTAATGCAGCTGGATATTATTACTTCACATGACAGATCAATGCATAAAAACATTTTGTTTTCATGTCTTAATAAAAATCACATTTAAATAATTAATCTAAGACTAGATCAGCATGTAAGGTTGGGAAACAAAAAAAAAAAAACAAAACAAAACAAAACAAAAACAAAACAAAAAAACAACAAACAAACGAACAAAAAAAAACATGAACAAAACATAAGATTGCTGCCATAAGCCATGAGATCTTCATTTGATTGAGCTGTGGCCACAAAGTGGAAGGCCCTCTCGACCTACATTGTATTACAGACTTATGATGTAAAAGAGGGACACAAGTTGACATCAGTGCTAACATGTGTTACCCACTATAAAGTTGGAATGTCTGCAGTCAAATATTCTTTTGTTTCTGAACTAGTCACATAGGCAAAGGCTGGTGGTTCTGTAGGATGCCTCCCAAACTGCTGACTATTTGTAATATCTGTCCCTACAGACATAACCTACAAGTGACTTGGATTACCTCAGGGGATGAAAATGCTGATAAATCCAGATGAGCTCCTGAATGTGCCAAAGCACTGCTTGCATCTTTCTATTGTCAACAACATAAACAAGAAAGGAATAGTGTTAGAGTGCTGATAACTTGAGACACAGCATGTTCTTTTGTGCAAGGGCTTCTGCAAAATTTACAATTAACTAAGGTAGTGATATTGGCAGTGAGTGACAGCTACATGTWCATGACTGTAACTAGTATTATAACAAAAAAAGCGAAATGGCAGGCTATTAATAGGGACAATCACGTTAAAGAGTAAAATGTTTAAGACAAYATTGACTTAGGATACAACCTCTGATTGAAACCGATGATAGTTATGATAATTGTGATTATTATGGTGATAATGTTATGGTAGCAAAGATGGTAGGGGATGTGATAGGGTGATAATAATGATTAGGGATTAAGACTGTTAGGTTTGTGTATGAGAATATATATATGAAATATATATTTGTACTGCGGTTGTAATGTATCAAATTGAGCTGATCCTCGCAGTATATGAAGCAACTTATGCAGCTGCAAATTGAAAGACTCAGARAAAAAAATTTTTTTTGAGTCTTTCAATTTGCAGCTGCAWAAGTTGCTTCATATACKGCGAGGATCAGCTCAATTTGATACTGTTAGGTTTAGAAAAACAAATATTATCATGGTAGAATACTCACTTGCCATCCAGGGAACTTCCCTTGTATCCACTGTAATTCAAACTCATCCTCTAAGCTGGAAAGCTCCTAAAAAAACAACAAATAGCTGGATAACATGTGCCATGATACAATAACACACTGCTTTTCTGACTAACTCAAAGTCATTCACTAATATGAGTATTACTCTTTTTACATGAGACAAAGATGAAAGTCAAAAATAGACTAGTCATATTGTTCCATATGTTAGTCATTCTGAGGTTGATAAAAAAACTGGGTGKAGTYGACATTGCAGTGCATTATGGAGATGTTTTAGGGGAGGAAATAGAGTCATTTCCCCTCAAACAGCCCCACAATGCACTTCAATCCCAACTCAAGCCAGTTTTTCATCAACCTCAGAATGACTAATAGAGGTTTTCTTTACATGATCACTTGCTGGATGCCATGTTAGACATCAGAATAACTTAACTTTACCAATGCTCTAAGGTGGACCAAAACCCTTACAGGTTTAGGACCCAATTACGAAGCAACCGATAGATCGAATTAGAATTAGATTTTTGCTAAGGGATGGAAACCGGAGAACGCAGAGAAAAACAAGAAGCTCTACTCACATATAACACTGAGCCAGTGGGAATCAAAACACAGGTCGCATTGGTGAGAGACGAGAGAGCTTAGCGCTACTCCACATGTGTTTCCCTCCATCGTACAGAATTGATTTAATTCTTTATGTAAATTCTTTTTTCCCTTTTGTACACGTTCGTATTTTGAACGAGCTTTATAAGCTCTTGGACGATACATGATTAAATAAGCTATTGATTGATTGATTGATTGATTGATTGATTCCCTGCCATCTAACATGTCTGCCATCATGTGATAACATAAAAACTCTATCTGGGATAAACCTTACCTTGTCTACATCATACAGAGGCTCAACCCTTTGGAAATAGCCATAAAGGTAATCAAACATAGCTTGAATATACCTGACAGAAAATAAWCAGATATGATCCTGAAAACGAGTTATGTGATTTGATTGATTGAAGGGTTTATTTTGCCAAGACAATTTYTATTTTACCACATTTGTGAATTTTCTTGCTTTCTGATTGGTCTAGAGCCGGGGAAATAGGGGGACATACAGATAAATTACGTCAGCAAATCATGCCCATGCTTCAAACCGTTTTTCTTTCAAATTTTCCCCTTATTTTGGTAGTAAAATTGTGAATTTTTCTGTGATAAAAAAAACAATTCCCCCCCCCCCCCGTGTTCTGTGGTACGTCCTCTTATTTACCACTTTTTTCATCATCTAGCCATCAAAATATGATGTGGACTACCTCGGTTATGCCTTGTGATTCCACAACATTTTGACGGCTAGATGGTCAAAAATTGATGGTCAAAATGCCATGGACAGCTGGAAGAAATAATTATTGGTTAAGTATCATACCTTTTGTAATCTGTATTTTTCTTCTCTTTTGGGATATCAAACAGGCGATCAAAATTGTCTAAGTATGTCAAGTAATCGATGCGCTGAAGAGAAAGACATTCAGAAAAAACTTATTAACTTCAAATTTTGTAATGCATCCTTAGAAACATGTTAATTGACAAAGCAATAATTGATTGCAGGAAGGTCATTCCAAGATCCAAGAATAACTGGAATGACTTGTTTCTTATTATTATTCTCACCAAGAACATGGAGGTTAGTGTTGAGATTTCTGGACAGTGTTGCTTGTACATTAGTCCACAAAACCATTTCAAAGGCTTTGATTATTTGTGTTWAATTTCTTTTCTTCTATAGARCGTTTTCACTCACGTGAGAAGGCAGCCATAAACAAYAGAAACTTTCYRCACAGTATTTGCATAAAAATAGAGTTCAATTCCCAGAGGATAGAAAATGTATTGTTTTGGTACCCCATAATGGCCACTGTGACGTCATGTGAAAACGCTCTACAGCATATTGGAATGAAGTATAAAAGTTGTAAGTATGCCATACTTTACCTCAATTCCTTTAAGATTTAAGAACATGTCATAYACTTCATGCAAATCCAGGTATTTTCCATACCCTTCTTCATCTGTAAACTCTACTAAATCTATCAGGAAAAAGCAAGTTAAGACTAATTTCATTATCTTTATAACAATTCATCATGCCAGGAACACCACCATGCAATCCCTAAAAAGTATCAATTTAAACTACGTAATATTAGTACAATAGCTAGTGAGAACACTTGAACCGTAAAGAGTTTGATTTCTACCTCACCTCCCAAAAATGCATGCAATAGTAGTGTAATGCATACAGTAGT